TGATTGGATCAGCCCAGATGGGGCATCTTCGGTCGTCATACTTTCCAGCGCGCTTTCCACAAACTTACCCTCTTCCTCCGCGCGAGTGCCAACTGTGCAAACGCCTAAACTCTTTCCCATGAAATTGTGCCACGTGCCACGGTAGATGTTACGCTTCACAACTGCAGCTCCCCTTTCACCCTTCCACCCCTTCGTCACATTGCGGGACTTTTGTCTAGCCAGCAGTTTTGCACTAGCTTGTCAATGCTGCTGTCCACCCCGATGCTTGCCCCGTGCAGCTCCTGGCGCCGCACAGGTGCAATCAGTACACACCTTGGTTGCGACGGTCTGAGTGAAACTTCAGCGACGACGGGCTTCACTCCTCCACGCACCTTATCTCGCGCCCACAAGGCGGATGGTGCAAATGCTCCCTTGCTCCGAAGCATCGCAGTGTGGCAATGCTTCCAGTCCACGAGAAGAACCGACCTGGTTTCGCGGTGGCCGCCGGGGTGCTGGTCCTTTTGTCTGTCCTCTGGAATCCTTGGCTGCCGTTTCGTCCCCGCCCCTTTCCCACTTGCCCACACCAATCCGCTTGCCAGAATGAAAGCAAACCAAGGCGTGTACGGCGTGTCCGCGTCACCATCTCATCATCGTACAGTTGCAAGAGCGGTCGCGGCTGGAACAAAAAACATGGCCCCGGGCTGATCAGCGATCGGCTCTGTACTCTCAAGTACGCAATCCAGCCGCGGTCAAGAAGGCAGCCAATTTCCCAAATGCAGCACCTCTTCGTGCGCTGTCTCTGCTTCAGGCTCCTCAATGCCTTGCTCGTGCAGACGTACTTCGATCCAGACGAGTTCTGGCAGGGGCCGGAGGTTGCCCACCGACTGGTTTTCGGGTACCGTTCGCCTTGTGATCTTGCGAAGTCTGCCTGCGGCCCCACCATGCAAGCTGCGGGCTATGCCGCGCCTGCTGTGTCGGAAAAGCCAACCCGGAATGGACCAAAGGGTGGAGAGGGCAAAGACGCGCTGAGCGCGGCTCTCCACCCACACCTTGTGTGTTTTAGACACCAGCAGGGTGGTGATCAATTATGCATGCTTGAAGATTGCTTCAACCATTTTGTTTGGACAGCAGTACCATGAGCGACTCATTTTCCCAGGCTGCTTGCAGCCACGGTGCAGTTCAGCCGGCACTTTCCTGTTGAGCTGCTTCTCAGTGCCATCACACAGTGGAAGGGACATGATCGAGCACATGTGTGGACTTTTGTATGCCCCTGGAATGAACTTGCGACGATCTACACAGTACAGCACACCATGTACATGGCACTTCTCCTGCAGGTACGGCCACCTGACTTGGGAATGGGCGGTGGGACTCCGCACCATAGGCTTCCCGCTGCTCTTCACCCCCCCTTACCAACTATTGAAAGTGCTGCACATCGATGCGGCATGGCTGGTGGCATGGAGTCCAAGGGTTGTGTCAGTGGCCATCGCTGCAGGAACAGATGTGGGAGTCCACACAATTGCCCACAAACTGTTTGGGAGTCGGGCGGCGGGGTAAGGCACCATTTATCAGCACCCCTGACTTGATCGATGGTTGGCCACTGCATGAGGTCGAACCATGAGAAGGATTGCACTCCATTCTGTAGCTGACAGCTTGCACAGTTGAACACGTCCACACTTTAGTGGGCCGAATGATACATGCTTGCTTTGGCCTCTTCAACAACTGACTGTGCTCACAAGTGAATGTAGTGGTTGGCAATGATTTTGCGGTGGACTACCCTGGGCATTGAGGTTTTATCAAAGTAGAACAATGCAGCACGGTTGTAAGCAGTGCCTGGACGCTTGCTTGGGTATGCCACATCACTGCCAATTAAACAAATCAAAGCATCTGCACTTACAATGGCACACTGGCCCCACTTGAGGGTTTGTCTCCAGTTCTGTGTAGACACAACACTTCTGCAGCAAACATGCCACATGAGTTGATCTGACAACAACATAAACCGAACATATTGTGGTGATGCAGGTGGTCCCTTACCTGCCAGCTCCTCTGCTGGTTCAATATCTACTGCCTCCCTCGGACATTTTCAAACTGCCTTGAGGCACTCCTTGTGGTGTGGTCACTGGTGCTGTGGCCTGGCCTGCTGATCAAGCAAGCTGCCCATACTGAGCCCAGTGGCTGCTCGGGGGCCTGGACACCGTCATTGCTGCTGGCTGCTGTGAGTGTTGTCTTCAGACCCACAGCACTTGCCTTCTTTGTGCCCATTGGTGGGTTCTTCTGGCAACCCTCTTCAATGTCGATGCCCACCAACTCTTCAAGCACAGTTGTGACACAGACTGGCTTGCCAGTGATATGTCCTTGTTTCTACCTTGTCTTCGGATTGCGATCTTTGCCCCTTGCCTTCAGCCCTGGATGGTCATGATAAGCTTCACGTTCTGGCAATGTATGTGGATTCAATGGTTAGTGCTTTGGTGGTGGCAGTACCTGAGCTAGCATTTTCATTGCTGTTGCCAGGAGTTCGGCAGCTGTTTCGAAGCAGCACGCCTCTGAAGCTCATTTTTGCTGAAGTTCTGCCACTAGGCTCCTTGGTGCTAGGGCTGTCACTCACGCTGGACCGGATGTTCTATGGAAGGCATGTTCTATTGGCTAAGTTTGCCTGTGCATTGCCTGCAACTCTGTTGCTATCAAACATTTCTGCAGTGTCTTCTCCTCTGTAAGATGACCATGGCACACCTTTGCCAGGAGGATTTGCCATTAGTACAAAGTGTTTCCTTCTGTTTATAGGACTGAATGATTGTATCCTTAAGGAAGACAACCTGCAAGGTTTAGCCCTCACAGCTTGCTATGCCAACTGCGTAGAGTCGCATGTGACATAATGTTCAAGTCATCTTGCCTATTCGGTAGCAAGACATGTCCTGGAAGGCGTAGTGGAGTTGAGGAATGATTTGTGGGGTGAGCAGCACATGTGCGAGTTCCATGCTTGGCACAGACTTTCACACAGGATTGTGACCCTCATTGATGCAGTTTGAACAAAACGCTGTGATGACAGCCTGTTGCTTCTTGGACCCGTCGTCAGGCCAAAGTGGACTTTTTTTTTCCACCTCACATAGAATTCAAGGTTGCATTTAACAGCACATTATCACTGTGCAGGTTACCAACAGTTACATTGCAAGGTGCCACAAGTGTCGGTGTCCGCATTGAGTCCGTTCTATCAGCAAAATGCGGAGCAAGCACTCAGGCAATCTTTCATCAGCATGAATAAATGTGTTCTTTGAGTGTGTCACTGTTCTAGCGCGCAGATGACCTGGAAACATGATTGCATTAATTTTTGATCAGATAGATATATAGAGAGGTCAAGGGTCAAGATATATAGTGGAGAGGTCAAGGGATGCTTGACGCACAGCACAAACAATAGCGAATGTGGCGCAGTTCCAGATGATGCAGATCGTGCAACACCCACTACCACAGCCAAGAGATGACAGCAGAATGACTGCGGTGTTGGGGTTTATGGCGGATTCAAATGCTAGAGGCATGAATCTCCTGGTTGTTCTCATCCTTATGCAAACATGTGCTGTTCTTTGACGTTGGTGGTTTCCAGCCAAGCTATGGGCTGGACTGTGCATTAAATTGTATATGAGATATACTGGCAAGTATGTGACACTTCACTTGGCTTTTCTGCCGCTACCTGTGTCATACAAGGATTTTATCTTGCCTCAGTTGAACGGTATGTTGCTAGGTGGGTGTTGCCTCCTTGGGAATTTGTGAACATCAACTTGCTGCAAGGCGTGGCACCGCTGTATGGCTCACATCCATGGCATTGGTATTTCACTCAGGTGAAAGGGATCACGAGTTGGTGCTCATCCCTGAAATCGTGATGTTTAAGCAGCCAACCCTCTGATAGGCAATCTGTTAGCAAGTGAATTTATCCATAACATTCATCCACAGCATCAACGTCAAGAATGGCACACTGGCTTTGTATGTGTGACCACAGAATTAAGATCATCAGTTTCACCATCGATTTTTGCAGCAGACTTCATGAAATAAAATGCACATAATAGAAAATGACAGGGCGCTGCATTTTGTGCCTTCAATGTAATGGCATGTGGTGTGCATTCCCATTGCTTGTTTTGTTCCTGTCAAGTTGTTGTTGCTGTTTTGAGCAGACTTCATCGCTCAACGTCATACTGCATCATGTCTACATTCTGTCTCAGTAGATCTGCAGTGTGTTGGTGGACGATGGTGGCAATTCAACTTGATGCACTGCTTGCAGGAGTGCTCAATGAGTGTGAAGGAATGGTGGCATAAGCATACAGTGGAACATTGCCTGGAGCAGTATCTGGGGCTCCTTTTGACCTGAAAAAATCAATTAGAGATCTCCATGTGGCATTGGATTGCAGTTTCCTCAGTGGCAAATCTTGGATATTGATACAGTGGCTGCAAGATACCAACAATGTCCGCACGTTCAGGGTTTCAGTTGTCTGTAGGAACTCTTGCTGTTAACTGAAATTCCAGCTCCTGTTCCAATTTTGCCCTTCCCAGGCGAGAGGGCTTTGTCCTGCACAACCAGCATTTATGCCATCAGAATGCACTCTGATGACATCTGCCTCTTTGGTACAAATAATGTCGTTGGCATCTTCTAGGCGACAGTGGCCATGCATGCATCTGCAGTGTGTGTTTGCTTCCCAACAGCCAGGGCTTCACTCTCTTTCATAATGGACAGGCTGGCTTACTGTGAGCCACAATTGATTTGGGAGACTGCACTGACTGGGTTTTCTGAAATTTGGTGTTGGTTCCAGGGACTGCCGGCAATGTGTGGGACATTCATGGTTTTGCTTCCCCTTGGAATCTTCTGGAGCAAAAGGCGGTCACTGTCTGCGCTCGCTGCATGGAACATTCTCGTTCTCAGCTTCTCGGCTCACAAGGAGTTCCGGTGAGTTATGTATACAGTATCAATTGTGCGACGCCGACTGAATACAGCAGAGTGGCACAACTCGTTGTGGAATTGTTGGAATAGTGGAATCCTCACACAATGACCTTTCAGACCAACAATGGTTTTTCGCTTACTGTGTTAAAACAGCAGGCAATGGGCACACATGTTCATGGGAAGAATCGGTCATCTTCTTTATTGTAGAACTTCCTGTTTATTGTTTGCTTAACAGGTTATTTCTGCTCCAACATGTTGCATTTTTGGGCCATTCAGTCGCATTTGGAAGGACAGGTACTGCCTCTATCCTGGCTGAAGAGCTGTGGGCCTTGTTCTACCTTCCAAGAAGATGCACGGCAGTGTAGAGCCCAGAGGATCGTATGAAATTGATGCACAGTCTCAAAGAGACAATGAGTTTTGTACATTTGTCACAAGAACAAGTAACACTCTGACTTTAGGTAAATTGTTGTGACATTAGGTTGAGCAAGTCAATGTATCCCAACTTGTCAAGTGAACACTGCCCACTGTTCATGGCATGTGTTGCTACTGAACTCAGACAATCAGTTTCAGTTGTTACCAGTGGCCTACAAGGACCTCATAGTCATTGTAAAAAAACAACCCAGCACTTGCATTATCAGGACGAAGTACATATGTGCCTAGTAACCTCTCAGACTTTTTTTTGGGGGGGGTCATAAAGTGAATCCTTCTGTGCCTGCAGCTACATACTGCCGAGCCTGTGCCTGATCATGCCTTACTGTGGCCTGGCCATGAGCACACTGAGTTTAAAGCTGAACAAAGCACCCAGGGAGGAAATACCAGGAGTCAAGCAGAGGCATGGCGCTGTTGGAGCCCTCCAGTCCAATCGCCTACAGACAGGCACGCTGAGAGACAGAGCTCAAAAGGCACTGAATGTCAGCAGCCCACCTGCACCAGTCTGCAAGGGGCAGTGGATCAAATTGAGGCGCTGCCAGAGGGGCCTGTGGTGCCTGGTGCTGCTAGCAGCCTTTGGAGTGCAAGTCCCTGCCGCCTTGTACTTTTCGCTAGTCCACCAAAGGTCAGTACTTGTGGATGCATGGCAGCTTTTGCACCTAGCACAGTTGCAAAATAGAATGCGAGCTTGGTGATTTTCTTGTTGGCAGGAATTGTTGCCACTGCAGCTTTAGTATTTCTTGTCACCGGTGGCAGCCACTGGAGAGCCACATTCCTTTAAGGTTGCCTTTGACAAGACAAAGCGGCGCCCTTGCACCTTGTAGACGCTGACAGGCATGTGTGCATCAAAGGCTGTCTTCATGTCCCGCGTTCCTTCAGTTTACTGCTCGCCACCCTTGTGGTCGGCCACTGGAGTGCATTTGCCGATGCCCTTCGCCCACACTCATTACATGCAAATGCATTGCATAACTCACCACTGGCTGCAGTGATGACTGTATGACTGACCACATCAAGTGAGCATCGATTGAAATAGAATGTAAGGCAGTAGATGGTGCAAACTCTATTGCAATTACACTGTTTGCAAGAACAGTCAGTTCAACTGCAGCAAGAATACTAATGAAGCTTGTTCAATGCTCACATTGCAGCGTTGATGAAAGAATTGGACATTAAGGTCCTTGTCTTCCAAATGGATCACAGCCGAGGGCCTCGTGCTGGACTTTTATGTTGCTCAACTGCTGGTGGATTGATAGCCAACGACTTGCAAACAGTCAGGAAGAATACAATTGACAAGCACCAATGTGTTTTGCTGATGGCAGGATTGAATGTCTTTATTATGCTCTGCTGATGCCCCGATCTTGCATGGCCCAGCAAGTTCTAAGTGGATGGAACATCAAATTCGTGGTGTTTCCCAACTGCCGACTACCTCAAAATGTGTGCTGTTGTCGACAATAGGATCGATTTCTGCCGGAACTTGACTCAGCATGGAGCTAATTGTCCCTGTGCTTCAGCACATGCAACATCCTAGCCTTCTGCCCTCCCGTCACTTGTGTGCCATGAAGGGAACGGGCACTGTGGATGGTGGTATGGGGCACCTGCCATCGTCATAGTTTTGGAAGGGCTTTGCCGGTCTGGAAAATGCAGTCACGAGAATTCCATCTTTGGTGTGGTGCTTTCAGGGGAAGCATAGCTGCTGTTTCGCATCTCTCCGGCCTGCCCATCGATAAACTCAAGAGCGTGGTGTTCATCCTGCCATGTCACTACACTCCTCTCTACTCCCACATACACAGAGACATCCCTGTGCGATTTCCGGACTGTTCACCACCAGGTGGGGCCAAAACCTCATCACTGTTATGCTACCAACCCGCTCAAAGTTGTCTGATGGGTGCATGGACAGCTGCTTTCTCATCTTTATAAATGTAGCCAGTGGGATGCATACTGAACAGTGCCACACAAGCAGTGCTTGATCAATGGAACACACCCACCCATGCCCACGCATACCTGAAGCAAAAAATGAAACAGACAGCTTCTGGAGACATTGTCAACACAAGAGGTGCATCACCAGATACCAGTGCAACTCAAGGCTTTTGAGGTTGGTGCATCGCACGTGACAACCACCCTGCAGGACGCACAGATGTGGAACTCAGGATGCAAGACTCAAATCTGCATGTAGGCACGACACTGGCAGAAGAATAACAACTCAATGTGTTGCTGTGCCCTGTCGGCATACCTGTGCCCCCACAGTTTTTCAGCGGCCAAGATGAGCACCAAAATGCCACTTCCCCTGTTGAGTGGCACCCCTGGAGAGGGATTGAAACAGGCATGCTGCCCTTTCTCCAAGGTGACAGTTGAGCCTAAGAGACTCATCATCTGAAAATGAATAATGAATGTACAATACCAGAGAAGCTTTCCTCCTCCCTGCCCCTCTTCCCCCCTGAAAGAAGTGTTGTTCCCCTTTTTGTTTTTGGGTGTGCACACATATGCGTGTCTCAGTGTGGAGGGAGCACGATTGGGCAGTATGGGCATCATCTGTGTCATCACACATTGATGCATCTGTTGTCTTGTGAGTTCAGTGGATGAACAGTGTTCAGGCTGTTAGAAAGCCCCTGGTTTGCTGTACAAGGCCTTGCTGCCCCTAAGGGTCTGAGTCGGTTCAGCTTGCTCCTCTGCATGATGTCAATATTTGGAAATTTCTGTATACGCAGGATTGCAGTCAGCAGTGGAACTCCAGAACCAGCGCACCCCGCAAAATGAGGCATTGGTGCCAAGATTCTCAGCAGCACAGTCCACAGGGGATACATTGCAGAGTGGCGGATTGAGCGAATCGGATAGAGCAATGAAGGACCCACAGAGATTTGTGGAGGATGCGTGCACTTCTGGCGGTGTGTCAACTGTGCAGAATAACTTGCAACCATTTTGAGAAGTTGGGCAGCACCATGCCGCCCCGTTCTAGCCAGTGTGCGCTTTCCAGAACTGAGGCCAGTTGGGACTGCCAAGCAATGATCATTGGCCATCGGCCACCCAAGTCATGCATGTCACTAACTTGGCAATGCCTGCAACTCAACATTTGCTAGCTGGACGGTTTCAACTCACTTCTGATTGCTGCTGGGGAACTACTCCTGTGTTGCCAGTACGAATTTCCAAGCTGCTGTATTCTCGCAGTTGCAGCACTGCGAGGACGTCCAACTGGGCTGTTGAAACTCCGAAACAGGGCACTCAAGCACCATTTGTGAATCCTTGCTTGGTTACATCCCTTCGCATGTCATTACAGTGCCCTTGAACTTTGAACGCGACAGTGCACCCTTCCTTGACATTGAGGAATCGTAGCCGTTCATACCTCCATTGTCCATGCACACCGAAAAGTGGTGTCCGCTCTGGTATTTCTTTCATTACACTATTGCCATGTTCCCTGCAGTACCTAGGTTGGCAGCTAAATTGACACCTGTAGCGTGCTAACTCTTTATCTTGCTCCACAAGCAACACCTGCTTGCATTCTGAAAGGTTGGGTGTTCTCTGGTCAGCCTGGGACAATACATGCAGATGCATATTTGTCCTCCATGGGTTCACTGGTGATTTAGCAAGAACAGTAAACAGTGACGCTTGTAAGCAAATGAACTACACAACTTCGTCAGTTTTGTGTCCCTCCTTGGCAAGGTGCAGTGCTTGCAAGATGTCAAAATCTCATTTGAATTTTCAGCTGTTTTAATAGTGTGCTGTCCAGGCTTCCATCCTGACTTTGTGGGTTTGCTGTGCGTAGGAGTGTTGAGTCCGCCCTCCCACATTGTTTCATGCTATGAGGCTTTCCCTGCCCTTGAGGACTTCCTGTCTGTGCACAATTTCACAGAGGTAGCACGCTTCTTCCAGTCACACATCCAAGTCAGTGGACATAAATGCCGCAGCATTCTGCTGTTCGAAAGGCAGGTAGGCAGCAGCTGAGCTCTGAATGGGCGCATGCTCCGATTTTCCGACACAAAGCTGGATATATTTTTTCACCCGGGTGTGAGGCGATGATGTACATTCTGGGAATAGACATTGTAGATGTCCAGCGTTTGTGTCTGCAGTTTCGTTTCTAAAAGCAACAGTTTGTGTACCTCTCCACTGCAACTAGAAGTTGTTCGGTCCGATTGCCAATGTGTGGAAACGGCCATACTCGCATGGCGGTTGTACACCTTCCTGATGGCCTGTACCATGGGCCACAGGGCTGGGGGCCCAGTTGGCTATAAGGTGGGGAGATACAGTCATTGTTAGCCTTGTTGCCACTCGCCGTAATGTGTACCGTATCGCAACTAGCTGGGTGACACGACACCTTATGCCAGTGAGGAGTTAGACATGGACAGCCGCCAAGCATCTGGAGGACGAACAAAGCACATTGAGTAACATGGAGATAGGTTATCGTCAATCCGACGATTGGTGACAATGGAATGCTCAGTGTATTCACGTTTAGTTGATCTAGTCGTGCTGACAACGATATCTGCACCAACATGGCAAATTCTTTGCCGAAGTGCCTTCGAATATGATGGGAGTCGCCCAACAGATGCTTGGCGTTCATTCTCGTCAATCTGATCAGCTCGCATGCCCCAAAACGGAACGCGCTCCACACGTTCAAAAGGCCCATGGCCTGCCTCCGATGCCCTAAACCGTTTTCTGCCCCCACCACTGCCTCAGCGAATGGGCCGCTCAATCGAGCCTCGACGCGGTCCCACCCGTGGCGCTGAATGCGGGACTTTCAGGCCGAGAAGCCCAAGGCCCATTGCGGAGCCATCTTCAGCACCCCCCTTCCCAGTGCCGGTCTCAGGTCACAACGCGAAGTCTAAGGCGTGGATCCCCGGCCCACCTCCATGCCGCCTGTGGCACTCCAATAGCAGCTTCGTCAGTATATTGTTTTCTATTGCATTGACAGTCCACGCCACCAAGAAAACATCCGACGCAAGACAACTGGTGGCCACCCTGCGCCATGAATGGCTCTGTTTCAGCTCAAGCAATGCCGATCGGTCGGCTTCCGCACCACCAAACCGTTTCAGGTGGAGAAGAGCAGCCAGATCCGCGCTGCAATACCTTGGTTGGCTGTAGGCACACTGACAGAATCCACATGCACCAGTCCAGGAACAGGGGCTGCTCCATTTTAGGTCCTAAAACAGTGCAGCGTTCTCCCATTTGTGGCCGCCCCTCTCTCCTTTCCAAGATTGGTGACTCATCATGTGGAGGTGACAGGAAATCAACGGGCTTTCAATTGGTGCTGCAGTCTTTGCAGAAAGTGCAATCTTTGGTAGTTTGTGTAAACCAAACCAGGTACCAGTTGATCAATGGTCTAAACAACTGCTGTTCCTGCAGTTGGCAACCATACAGCGTTTGCCAATCCCTTCTGAAGACGGGAGGAAACTCCCTGGTGGCAATCATCCAATCCTCAATTATGTTCGCGACGTATTCTCTGTTGCGCGCAGTGTGGCGGTAACCCACGTAGCCTAGCCGCGCCAGACGGATGCAGACCAGACCTGTCCTGCTGCGTAGCCGTAATTGCCAGACCAGCCGTCACAACGGGCTGATGGGCATCGAATGCGGTCCCGATCTTTGGGAGACACCGCAGTCGCCTCCTTCCCCGCAGGCGAAACGGGATGCAGCACACACACTGTCCGGGGACAGTTCGGAAACAATGACACGTGCACAGCAGCGAGGGTGGGCCCAGAAAGAGTTGTTACAAGAATGTTCCATGCGTATTTATACTCGAGAAAGGGTGTCCCAGTCCCCGGTCCTAGCCACCTATTCGAGAAGCCTCCAAAACTACAATCCCCGTACAGAACCCCCTGAGCTTGTCCCAGACGTCTCAAGTTCTCCGGCACTTGTCCCCAGCATGGTACAACCCAGCATACGTTCCATACAACCGGCTCAATTTCAGTCCCCAGCAAGTGTTTCCAGTCCCCAGCGAGCAAGTCTAGTCCCCAGCAAGCGAGTCTAGTCCCCAGCAATCCCGGTCAGTCCCATGCAATAACGTTCAGTCCCAAGTACGTCCCTCCAAAATGATCCAGTAATCAAATCAATCAAATCAGTAAAATATGGTGAAGTCGGTAAAACCCGCCAGTACATTCCTTATGTCCGGCCTTGACGCTTCATCAGAACGTACATAACTAAAATACCTTACTGATGATGAATTCCCAGGTTAGCACTCCATTCCGGCTCTGCCGTACATCAGGGCCATCGTGCATTGGGGTTTTCAGCGATAGTGGCTCTCTCCAGGTGGACTCCTGGACATTAGGCAATAGAACAGGACAATTAGTACGCCTTTAACTCGCTAATTCCAGGCCGTGCTGAGCAACTCAAACACGGTTGCAGCAGATCGGATCAACCAATCAAACAGCTATTAATACACAACCTCAAACAGGTCATCTCGGTAGGGGTACTTAGAAAATCGCCACACACAGCATGCTGATTACACAATCCGTTTTCTACCACGTTGGCGTTACATCACGGCTCATTCTGTTTTGTCAACTGCGCGTGGACACCCAGACAATGGGATTTTTCTGCTGTCAACATGAGCAACGATTCGGAATTGCAGCCAAACAGGAAAACCGAGCACGCCAGTCGCATTCGCTGAACCCATCGGGAAGGTGTACAACCGGGTTGTATAACAGGGCGCCACGAGTGCCAAACACGCGCCCATGCTGGTCGACGATCACCCTGTCCCCGTGACCAAAGCGCTGAGAGAAAGTTTGCGACAATGTCGGCAGCTCCGACACTCCCGCAGGTCCCTCTGGGGCAACAAGGGCTGATCGTGTCGGCCCAGGGGCTGGGGTGCATGGGGATGAGCTGGTCGTACGGCGAGCATCAGAGCGACGAAGCCCAAGCGGAGTCGCTTGCAGTCATCCAGAAGGCCCTCGAGCTGGGGTGCAACTTTCTGGACACCGCTGAAGTGTACGGGCCGCACACGAACGAAGAACTCGTCGGTACGAGACACTTCGCTGTTCAATGCGGAAGGCATTTGCCCCCTTGTGTCCAGCACTCCACAGCGTTTCCTTGTCTTCTCTTGCTTGCCGTGCTTTGGAGTACTTGGGCCACTCAAGTCTCCGAACAGCTGTCGAAAGTTGGGAACGCAGAGGCATCATTCGGGCAAACGTTGACGTTGTCAACGGTTGAATCAGTAGCATAATGTTGTGTGTTTACATCCTGCAGTTGCCAGTTTGCGCCACTCCCTGTGCCAGAAATACTGTGGATTAGTGAATCCTACTTTGATTTGCTGTTAGCTACTTACGAAGCAGTCAGAACGAGGGATGTAGCCCAGTTTTTACCATGCAGTACAACCGACAGATGTATCTGGTTGTATGGCATTGCCACTTCCACTTGCGTCTGTTGCATTGGAGTAACGATGAGGGAATAATCTTGAGGGAGTACCATTCTTCATTTTGCTTTCAGCAGTTGTACCTACTATGGGTACCAACCAACCTGCAAGATGCAACAGGAGATCGCCCAAGTGCAATCCATTGTCTGCATGTGTGTGGAAACGACCTTGCACCTGAAAGGCCAAGTGGGGCAGAAGTGCACATGCATGTTGTTCCACATTGCATCGCCAGCACTGCCCAAATTCCATCAAATCCATTGGAGACTGCTGGCCTCCCTACCGTGTATCGAACCACACAAATCGTGCAAGTGGCAAAATACACATTTCAAACAAAAGTTTGGTGAGCATCATTTGATGCAAAATTGAAGTGGTATGCCTGGCTGCCAGAAACCAGCAAACAATCCTCACCGCCTTGCCTCCACCCAGCTATGCAGATGCCAGCCCAAGACTCTGAAAGACGCAATGAATGCCCAATGACAGGCACTGCACTCCTGCTGTATCCAGAGAAATGCAAGGGAAGAAATTGGAGGCCCAAACAGGTCAGGAACCCAGATTGGGTGGGAAAACACTAGCACAACCCACAGAGTCTCCTACCTTTGGGAACTGGCAGCCCAGGTACTTACTGTTCTATTCTAAACTGGGTTTTGTGCATTGCTGTGTAAAGGAGTGCGATGGGTGAGCAAAGCAGGTTATTCCATCGAGATCTGCTCGTGCTGTGTGTAACTGCCAACAATCAGTGGGCCTGCTACAATGCACTTGCGTGTGGAAATGTGGGCAAGCGACCTGCGTGAGGATAGCTGGTTGGTCGGGATTGCTGATGTCCTGTGATTGATTGAGCAGGGCGCGCAATCAAAGGAAAAAGAGGGCAATATGTGGTGTGCACCAAATTCGGATTCAAAATCGGGGAAGATGGCACCATTAAAGGCTTGGACTCGAGCCCAGCGAATGTACGGAGGGCTTGCGAGGCCAGCTTGCAGCGTTTGGGCATTGACTGCATTGACCTCTTCTATCAACATCGTGTGGACCACAACACACCAATTGAATCCACAATGTGCGAGCTCAAGGTGTGTTTTTGAAAGCCACACGGCAAACACTTGCCGCTTGTCATGTGCTCAGCAAACACTGCAAAGATGTCCTGTGAGGCGATGAAGCGAAATGTCATCCCAGCCAGTGTACAGACTATTCATGCACTATTCACCTGGTGGTGAAGTGTTGCCCACCTGAAATCTATGAATATGCCTTTGTTGGCATCCCCCACCCATTTCTCTGAACCCTGTGTTTCGCCCAGGCACTAGTGGATGAGGGCAAAATCAAGTACATCGGCTTGTCGGAGGCGAGTGCTGCAGACATTCGAAAGGCGCACGCCATTCACCCGATCAGCGCCTACCAGCTGGAGTGGTCACTGTGGACAAGGGACGCAGAGAAGGAGATCGTGCCCACTTGCAGGGAACTTGGCATCGGCCTCGTTGCTTACAGCCCCCTGGGCCGGGGATTCCTGACTGGAACAATTGAGAAGCTCGAAGATTTAAGGTGGGGTGATGTTGTTCAGCCATTTGTATCTGGCTGTCCAGTCATGGTTGCCGTTCTTAGTGATTCTGAAGTGTGCTGGAGAAAGATACCCTGTCAATAGAGATCAGTGCAAGAAAATGGGGGTGGCACAGATATCGGTCGCATTGACAAATGCACGGGCGGAGCCCCGCGAAGCAACGACAATCTGATCAAACCAGACGGTGGGGGCCGTCAGTACACCTCCATGGGACTCGGCAATCCGCGAAAGTGAGGCGCCTAACGGCTTAATTGCATCGATTTCTGCACTGCCAGCTTTCCCTCGAGGACTGTGGCGTCACGGCGCAGTTGTGGCAGCAGCACAAACAACGCACCGCCCCAAGCTCTTGCTGCCGGTGATAGTGGAACGTTGCCCCAGCATCATTGTGTACACGCTCAACGGCTTGGCTCGAAAGGTTGCTTATGTGTTCCTGTATTGACAGCGAGGGGGACAGGCGTCGAGGGACCCCGCGATTCAGCGCTGAGGCGATGGAAAAGAACAAGGCGCTGGTGGACAAAGTGAGGGCAATTGCTGACAGGAAGGGCTGCACGCCCGCCCAGGTGGCCCTTGCGTGGGTGCACCACCAGGGAAGCGACGTTGTGCCGATCCCCGGGACGAAGAAGTTGAAGTACGTGGTCGACAATGTTGGGGCGTACGCAGTGAAGCTTTCTGCGGAGGACATGGAGGAGCTTAGCTTTGGGGAAGGGGACGTCGCTGGCGAAAGATATGGTGCGGAGTTCATGAAGAGCGGCACATTTCACTACGGCGACACGTCTAGTTGATGGGCGATTTAGATCATCCACACTGGCCTCTGAGTGAAGCCGCTCTGAGTGAATCGAAGGGGCCACGGCACAGTGCTGTGTGCTTGGAGAAATGCGGCTTTTGCGGGTGTTGCCTTCGGGGATCCCAGCAAGATCGTGGCGCGGAATGTGCACAGCGGTCAGGCGATACCAGCAAGATCGTGGCACCGAATGTACACAGGAGTCAGGAGTGCAGGATAAGGTTGGGTAAGTGATTGGACGACACTGTGTTTCCCTCCTACTTGAGCAATCTTGAAATGGGGCTGTTGTAACTGGAACTGATTGAGTATTGTTAACAGCTGAACGCATGAAGGTATGATGAGGCAATAGGAATTTCATTAAGGACGTTGACGAACGGGCTGGATATAAGGGGAAGAACTCCCGCTGCCCCTTTGTCCTGGCAGTAAACCGTTGCCGTGGACTCGAGCCTACGATCCCAGCTCAGGGCTCGCGCTACCCCTCGAACCTGCATGCCTTCATCAGGGCAAACGAACGTCCTGCGAACGTTCTGTTGGTGGGAATTGTGTGCAGCGTCCCATCCAAGGCGAAAGGGCAGCGTTCTGTCGCTCCTGGGCCAACGCAATCAAAGGATGTACAAGATCGTTAGCACATGTGAGGGCAGCGACCGCCCGTGGGTGGACGGCATCACAAAAATGCCGCAATCGCACAATTCTGTGGCGCATGGAGCGGCGACAGGCCCAATCGATTGTAGCGTTTATAGCCGATTCTGATTCGCCTGTCGATCAATCTCCTGCTGCCAAGCACCGGCAGGGGCATAAGCCATTGCCAGAGGCAGATGTGCCCTCAACCAGCCAGCGTAGTCACGCCGAAGACCCGCTGTCAGCACATCACCAGCCCGTGTTCACTGATTCATTCAACGCTGCTATCATTCAAACAAATTCCCACCAACCGCGACATCATGCTATTCAGCCATTCTGCCGTTTACTACGCAGACATCTCAAAACAGCACTAGCTGCCTAGTTCCTGAACCTATTTCTTGTGTTACATGAACCCGGCAGGGATTTCCACGCGTGTGGGACACATTTTCCCGCGCCTTGCTGCCTTATGGTAAGGGGTGCATTGCGTCAGCTCAAAGCGACAGTTGTCAGCTCGCCCTGTACGCCAGTACACATAGGACTTGTCAGTGTGGTCAGCGCCACATCCCATTTGCATCGCATCCAATCTGCCAAGTCGTTTTCTGTTTCAACTAATTGCGACGTGTCGATTCGCTGCATTTTCGTGCATGTGTCTGCCCAGCGACGCGACATGATAACGTTGGGAAAGCACTGCTGCTATCACATGAACCGCATATCCGTTCAATGCAACACAGCTTGTGCAAGAATTCGTTCTCAGTGAATAGTGCACTTGGCGGGGGGGCGGGGGAGGGGGGAGGTCTCATAGTGCATGACATCCAAACAAAGGTCCTGGAGCAGCCTCAAGTGGTGGATCAATCCGCCTATTTTCGAGAGGGCGCCACAAAGGTGCCACGGCAAATTGCCTCAATTGGTGCTGCAACCCAGTGTCAGCCACGTTTCTTGGATTGCAGCTGTCAGAAGCAAAGCCCCTGCACCTTGCAGGCGATGATGGGCACAAAAAATGTTCAAGCAGCGCTTGGTCGGAATTCCCAAGCATCTGCATCTCAGCCCTCCTAGGTCTTTGCGCTGGGAACAGCATCTCCTAAAGCGTCTTATGCTCGATACGTAGTGAAGGCAGCCGCAAAGCAACGCATTTATCTATTATAGAGCGTGACGATTTTTCCCATTCCACATGCACACACACCCTTGTCAGCGAACAGCCTGATCTAAGCGCGACAACATGCAAGGCGATGGCCTGTGCTCTTCGCAGCCGAAGCGTCACGAAGCTGTATGCTAATTGACCCAAAAGAAGGGATGACAAAGAAGTTCACGATGCTGCCCTTAATAGCAGCAATGAGCCGTTTGCGACTAGCGAGGGAGATGAGCACATGGCACGGGCATGTGTGAGATATCCATTGGATTCCATCCGTTGGCGTCCATAGCACAAATGACACAGGCAGCCTTGGCGTCGGAGTGTGTGGACGGAGTTGTGACCAGCTGGGACAGGCTGTGTCATACTCACTGTGACGATTTTCTCCTTAGCCAACGCGTCACGAAACTACCCTTTTTCCTTAGAGTGCCAGACTCTGAGGGGGACAGTACATCTGACAAAACACTGGCGGCCTGACTGCAAGAACACATGAAGCATTGCATCAAATGCTGCTGTCCCCGGTAGAAAAATTTGGTGCACAAATCAGCACTGTACTTTTAGCTAATTGGTCCGGCTGGACATTGGAGTACAATGAAGTAGCAACACAGGGTGAGCACATTGTGTTTCGATGGGGGCACAAACTCAGCCAGAAAGGGAGGAGAAGGAAGTAGCTCTCAATTAATTGCTAGTGGAGCTGTGCACAAACAAGTATCAAAATTGGGATCCAAGTGGGGCCGATGCTGCCAGAAGAGGCTCACACAGGCTCAAAGGCCAACTACATTGCCCCAATTTGGGTACAAGAGTGCCTCAGTCCTTCTCACATGATTGTTGCCCTATCAGAAGCGAAGGTCACAGGATGTTGAGAACGCCGATGTTCGAAGATGTCCGAAGATGTTCAAGTGTGGTTTATTGCAGGTGCGCATTCTGGTCTGTTCCCACGCCATGGCAAGCCGTAGATGGACATCCTGCCATCCAACTGCGGAATATCCGATATGAGCACTCCCATCGATAAGAATACAAAGAGTGGTGTTGTTCCAGTGAGGTGCACTCGAAACTGTGAGACTTTTGCTAGACATCTGCGACAATGTGCAGCATCTGGGGTATGGACCTCAAGTCATGCTGGGAGGAGGCAGGCATCATCTGAAAGGCAAGAAGACAGTTGGCTGGGATGTCTTGGTGACGAAAGCAATTGAGGATCTACGCTGAAGTTGATATTCTCTTCTGCAGCTGATTTAGGCACAGCACGTCCACAGGTTGTTAGCAGGAATGGCACCCCAGTCACCATCTGGTGCACAGTGTGGCAATAATATTGCACGTTACTATCTTTGAGCTACAGTTCAAGTTGCTCCCACCTTTGGCCCTTCTCCAAGCTCCCCTTCCGTTTGCTTTGCCGGGACAACGAACGCTGCTCCTTGGCCTTTTTCTTGGCCAGGTCAGCAGCTGCCTTCAGATTCTCCTGCAATAGTTGTAGGACCGACAATGGGTCACACTGCTGACACTCATATCCTGGCACAGAGCGCCAAGTCCAAATGATGCCCGTTGGTATCAGGCAAGTTGCTTAGAATCAACAGGAGGCAAGAGAACGAGCAGGCAACTCTGCACAGTGATTGGCGCAGGGTAAACTCTGACTGATGCCTCCTGCATGCAGGCGAAGGAGTCGAGGTACCAGAATTCAACTTCCTTTTCAGCCCCATGCAGGCGGGAAAGAAATGCAGTTGGACCAATTGAATGAGGATGGCAGCATCTGAAAGCTTCCACATTTCCATGCACCATTACTATGAGAAAACTTGAGAAGGATTCATTCAGCAGAATGAGGTACATCATTACAAAAATGCGTCCTGTGGCCTTGTTCAACCTTTGAATGGGGGCATCGGCAAGTGTATGTCAATTTTCTGTCAAATGTGGGCAAGCAAGGACCTAACCATGACTTCCTTGCTCACTTTGAAGTCCCTCTTCCAGGTGTTGAATTTTTTGATCAATTGCTGAAGCTCATAGTCCGGGTCCATCTCTGGTGCCTGTGCTATGCCATCCCTGACCTCGTTTATGAAAGTGACGTCATCCTCTAGAACAGTAGCTTTAGAGTCAAATTCTTCCTGCACAACAACGCCGATCGGTGTTGGCAGACAGATTGGTGGCTTTGAATGCAGGTGCAATCCCCAGCAAACTTTCCTTGGTTCCCAAATGGACAATAAAGGGCACAATCAGGGTATGAGAATCATGGGTTGCACATCTTTGTGTGCTGCACTATGCATGGCACAGGCACAGCACTGTCAGGTGTGTTGATAATCCATGCGCACTGTATAGCAACAACAGCAACCCCAACCATCCACCTCCAAAGCTCATGACACCGATGCTACACTTGGCATCAGGTGTCTATTGATGCACGACAAGATCCCCAGCAGGTGCCCAAACTTCTGTAGAGTGCAAAACTTACTGTGGTACGTGACATCTGAATTCTTGATTGATGTTGGAAACAGCAACGTGTTTTTGAAATCCTACAGACAATTGCAGATCGCCCCAACTCATCCCAACAAGTGAACGGAACGGAATGCTTTTCCACATTGTGCCCGACGCCTTCACTGAGCCACCTTGGCGGCTATTAATCGTCCCACAGGGAGCTTACAGCATACTTGGTGCCAATGATCCGGGTCATGCAGACACTCCAAATGCAACCATTATCCACTCTGGTGCCCAACTTGGGACTCCTGCAGGCCTAACAGAAACCGCAGACTGCCCCATGGTTTGTGGCTATTAATCGTCCCACAGGGAGCTTACAGCATACTTGGTGCCAATGATCCAGGTCATGCAGGCACTCCAAATGCAACCAGTATCCACTCTGGTGCCCAACTTGGGACTCCTGCAGGCCTAACAGAAACCGCAGACTGCCCCATGGTTTTCAAGAAAACTGTGGCTGGCGCCGTCAAAACCCACCCACGCCTCTCGAGAATGTTGGGTTTCCTGCCCTTGTTTCCTTGACGTCGTGCGCAGGGGCGGCGTGGACAACTGCAGCCGAACGGGTGGCCAAAGGGGAGACCGAGCAAACATGAATTCGAGGCCGCGGCCCCCGAGACCGCCTTTCAGGTGCAAAAGCATCACTTTACACGCCGCGAATGGAATCACTGGCAGAGTAGACCACCCAGCCCACCTTGAGTTCGGACACCCTTTTCTTCAGCTGTTCCGCTGTGGTGCTCTGCGCGGGCGTCGGCGCCCGGCCGGCCCTTGAGCTGCGCCGCCCGCCGGCGGCCTGTGCGGCCTGCACGGACCCGCTCGCATCGGACACGGTAGCCTGGTAAGACCCGGCCGCCTCGGCGTTCTCGATTAGCGTCGACCTGCGCAGCCACTACCAAACCGACGGTCAACCCAGCCCCCGGGGGGTCGCAGACGATCAATCATTACACGGGAAAGGAAGGGAGCCTGAATGCCCGCCACAGCGAGCACCGCATGGTGCGGCCATGGTCCCCATTCCGCGCATCTGCAGCGCCCTCCGCACTTCGGCTCGCGCGGCAAATGGTCTGCAAAACTCGGCTTCTGCGCGCACCACAAAAGGCCCTGGCACCCCCGCCCGGAAACACGTCCCTTTGAATCCCCTCGAGTCGAATCACGAAATGCGTGCCCGTCAGTTTTCGACCCGCAACCAAATGTGGGGCGCCACGTTCGCAAAAGCGCAGATGCACCGCGCACCGGGTGGCCTGCAGGCGCAGGCCGGCGTCCCGCGCTGGTCCTGCTCACCTCACGGACTGCACGTAGGCCTGCAGCTGCTCCACCTGCTGCAGCCACTCGCCCTCCGCCTCCTCCAGCTTCCGCGAGTACAGCTGCCGCATCCCCCGCTCCTGCTGCATTGTCTTCTCCAGTTCATCGTTTTCCTCCCTGAGCCGCGCCACTTCGGCCAAAAGGCTCTCCCCATCCGCCTGGTCGCCAGAACATTAGAACATCAGAACCTCAGCGCCGGCGGCCCCGCCTGGTGGTTTATTTTTCCGTGGGCGGGACGTCAGGACGGCCGCCGCGGGCGGACGCCCAATCACGGCGAGATGCCAGCCTCACTGGCGGCCACGCCCAGCGGCCGTGACCGCCCCAATCCCCCCCGCAGCGCCGGCGTCGATCGTCAGCCACCCCGGGTCGCTTCCCGCTGGGTTGGCGCCCGGAGCTTCGATCTCAACGTCCCACCCACGCGCCCTTCCTCTGTTCCGTGTTCCCCCGGGCGCCCTCAGCTCCGAAAGCTGCAAAGGGCACAATTCGTTCCAGACTAGGCGATATTCTCTCTCGCACAATTAGGATTCAGTTTCGCAGGGGAAGCGCAGGTTGCAAACACCTCAGGGCAATCAGCACCGCGACGCGTGCGCGACGCCTGGCGCCGCCTCCACTCACCTGATCGCCCCGGCCCACCTCCGCCGCCCCCGCCACCCTCTGCGCCGCAGACCCGGCCGTCGCCATGGCCCCTCTCCAATCCGCGCCCACCTCCACACGCGAGTGTGCGCAAAACACACTCCCCCACGCACCCCGCCGCTCCTTTAATAACGGATCAACCCGATCACGTCATTTTCGCGCACCAGCGTCACACCCCTCACCCACGTCACACTTCAGGTCACACCTCAATGGGCGCCTGTTTCACGGTTTTATGGCGGTTTGCTCTGGCAAACGTCCCGGGCTCGGGATGTCTCAAGTCGGCAGCGGTTTCAGAAATGTGGAGCCGCGCAGTCGAGAGGCGCGCCTGGCGGCCCGGGGGGCTCAAGGGGCGGCCGGGCGGCAGCCCGTGGGGCGGGGCCGCCTGAGGCAGGAGGTGCTGGCCCACCCGTTGGACATCGACAGGAGCTGTCCGTCGTACGCGGACGAGTCGCAGCGCTTCCAGCGGGACGCCGCGGCGCAGGACCACGAGAGGCGGATGGAGAGGCTGAAGAGCAAGGAGGTGGGGAGGGGAAGGGGGGGCGGGGGGGGAAGGGCGGGAGTGAGCGCCGTTTGTTTGGGCGGGGAGGAGACGGGGCGGGTGTGCGGGACGCGGTGAACGGCGAGGGCCGGACGAGAAAAGGGGCGCGGTAGCACACCTTGCTGTATGATACGAGCTTGTTATTTGGCGGCGTAAGTACTCACGTGCTTACGGGCGAAAATGGCTTTTTGCTTTTACGCGTGCATAGGCGTAAAAGTGCCTGAAAGTGGGCCCTGTGTACATAAAGACAGTACGTGCAGACTCAAGGAGTCCGGGCAGTGGCAGCCAGAAGCGCGGGAGAGGGCAGAAAACCATTTTTGTTCGACGGTGTTTTTGCCCTTGCCGAGGCCAGGTGGATGCTGTGTTGCAGATTCTCAAGGGGGCGGAGAACTGGCCATTGTATAAGAATTCATCATGCAACGCGGGTGTCCAATAAGCCGTAAATATAGCCACAAAAATGGCCCCTTTGGCATTTTTACTTATTTCTGCATAAAAACGTAAACGGAGAAACGTAACGACCAACGTAAAGAAAAAGCCTGTTACAGGGTTGTTATTTTCCTGCGCATGTACTCGCGTGCTTTTTCTTTTTGATGCGTGCATAGGCGTAAAAATGGAAGAAAATGGCCCCTCTGTACATAAAGGCAATTTACGCTAAAAATTGGTATTTACGTTTTTATGCGCACATGTGCGTAAAAGTACATAAATTTTGACCCGGTACATAGAGAGAGTACATGCAAACTCAAAAAGTTCGGCAGCCAGACGCGCTGGGGAGGGCAGAAAACGACTTTTTGCTCGACGACATCTTTCCCCTTGCCGAGGCTTCTCGAGGGGGCGGAACTGACATTGTATGCGAATTCATCATGTAAAGCGGGTGCCCCCATGAGCCGTACATATAGCCGCAAAATAGCCGTTTCTATGTTTTTAAGTTTTTGCCCATAAGACCGCAGGCTTGGCTTTTAAGCCGTAAAAACTGATCGTATCGACCTTCTTACGCGTAACAATGCATAAAAATACGTAAATACAACGTAAAAACTGCCCGGTGCACATAAGGACAGTACATTCAGACTTACGGAGTCCGGAGAGTGGAAGCCAGATGCCCTGGAAGGGGCAGAAAACGAGTTTTTGTTAAACGCCATTGTCGCCCTTGCCAACAGCGAGGTGGACATTGCGTTGCGGGTGCTGGAGATGGCGGAGGACTTGTCATTGTACGCACCTTTCATCATCGTGTAACCTGGGTGTCCCAAGGAGCCGTAAAAACGCAAAAATAGCCGTGAAAATAGGCTCTTTGGCAATTTTACGTTTTTGTGCGTAAAAACATAAAAGTAAAAACGGAAACGGAAACATAAAACCAAGCATGTAAAAGCGTGAACGCAAAGACCAAGCTTGGGATTTACCATTTCTTAGGACGACATCATGTAGCCTGGTTGTGTCCGCCAGCTGTAGTAGTGCGTAAATGTTGTATGATTCAAGCTTGTCATGATACATAGAAGATATGGATTGATACATCCTGTATTGCTCCATGTTCTGTGTTATGCCAATATTGCGTAGTGTATAAGCGTGGCACGACCTCAGTATTTAGCGCAATATTGTAATAAAGGTATTGTTGTGATGTGATTATAACGTTACCTAATTGATTATGTTACTGCTGCTGTTATTACTGCGTCGAATTTAGTACGCTGATTTCACTGCTACGTTGATGATTCTGGGGCGGTCCAGGAGCGTTTTCAATGTGCGCTTATGGCAATGCCATTCATGCTGCCAATATTGCGTAGTCTTGTTCGTGCCAACTACAGACGGCAGCTGAATGACTTGTGCGCCTGCTTCATACCGAATAACGTCGGAGCGCCTGCAAATTCGAATCCGAATGCAGCCTCCTTGGGTGCAGAAATGTATCCTCGCGCCTGCAGAGATTTAGGCAAGGGGATAGGTGTCGCTGGTGCATCAAAAGCGCTGTGTGCTCCCATTGGCGCGCACCGCTCCCAATCATCATTTTCGCTTGGAGTACGTAAAAATGTCAAAAAAGAATGATGCGGGAGGAGGCTGGCGGTAATTTTGCCACACACGCACACATCTGAGTTCCGTACGAAATGAATGGGCCCTGTGATACTTGCAAGACCTGAAAGCCAGCAGACTTTGGCTTTGTAAGGGGGCAATGTGAGAGCAATAAGCAAATACTCCTTCTTGCCAATTTGCCCAGATGGCTTGCTGCGATTGCTAAACAGCGCTGCAATCACACAAACCAGCACCATACTGACGCGTGGCGCATCATTCATGCAGCATATTTCCGAATTCATAGGTCTCATTCTACTTAGTCATTGACACTACTCCAGAGTGATAGCGATGAGAGAAGATCTCGCCTCCTGCTTCAGAAAATTCTTGGCAGGAGCGCTTTGCATTAACGTAAAACACTCCTAAAGATCGCAATATTGCGGCCAACACTCCTGATTACCTCAATACTGCGGTCCTGACCAAGCTGTATTTCTACAAGAATTTACGACAATACAACTTCAAGATGAGGAGACGGCCGTGCTTTTGGCAACGGAGTGTGAAATCACACGCGCCGTTTCTTCTACAGGAGTTCCTCTCCAGGAAACGCATTGCTCGATGGGAGCAGGAGAAGGTGCGGCTGCAGCGCATGGAGGCGGCCCAACGGGACGACGAGGCGCGAGCGGCCGCACTGGCCAAGCACAGCAGCATAAAGTCACTTAAGAACTGCAGTGGAGAGGACTATAACATCATAACGTTGTCCTACCACGACACACCGGGAGGGGTGAAACTGCAAGCTGAGGTAGGGCGAGGCCCGCGTGGGGGCGTTTGGCTCTGTGCTGGCATAGAGTGTGTGTTCGTTTAGCTTACAACGACGTTGGTTGCCACTGTATTAGCACTAGTTTCAGCAAATGGCGCCACTGTGTACTGCGGGAAGCTATCGTCAACTACTACCAACCACCATTCTTCACTGTGAAAATATGACTAAATTGGCAACTGTTAGAAAATTTGGCCACGTACACGGCGGCAATTTCGCACGGGCTGTAAGTATCGGCCTTGCAGCGCTGCCGCTCCGCAAGCACATAGTTAAAAACTGAGCAAAATTTGCCTGCGGATATTTCAAAGCGGGATTAGCAGCCACCCCAACCGGAGCCGAAGATTGTGTTATCACAAAGCAGCAAACCAGACATGTTACTCATGGTCATGAGGGGAGGCTGATTGGCAAGACTCAATTCGAAGCACTTTATGGCAAATATTGATTCGTTTTGTGACCAAATTGTATCTGCTCCCGGGCAGTTGCGCATCAGGAAATATTCTACATCAGCACCTTGATCGAGGGTTGTGTTTGCGTTTACGTTTTTATGCTTAAAAACGTGAATTTGCGAGTGGCTATTTTGCCGCTCGTTGAGACACACAGGTTCCACGATGAAAGTCGTGCACAATGATCAGTCCTCCCCCACCTCCAGCACCCGCAACACAGTTTCCACCTCGCCTTTGACAAGGACATCGACTTTGCAAAACAAAAGGTCGTCCTCTACCCACTCCAACGCGTCTGACTGCCAACCCCCCAGACTCTCTATTGCACTTGAGCTTCAGCGCTAGGTAGATCAACAACAGCATTCTTCCCTTCTTGGGACGCAGCTTTTTGCACAGCTTGCCTTGGATCCAAGCTGCTTCCACCCATGGCCAGCTCTGTGCACACAGTTTGCCCCTTTGTGGTGAACAGGCTTCCGGCCTTTCCGCGCTTCTTGCCATCGCGTTTCTTCTTATGCGCCGTATGATGGTGAGCAAACCCCTCCCTATCCTCTTGTTCACTTCGCCACTACGTGCTGCCATGCCAGAGCCGACGATGCCAGCGAGGTGGCAGCATCATCGATCTTCACCGCCCTTCGCGACTTGCTGGCAGCACGTACAAGTGGCTTGCAAGCCTTTCCCGTACTTAAGTTGCTTGGCGGACGGCCATAAACCCCCTTGTGCCCCATGGCGCAGTTGGTCACGGGTGGACCACGCAGCTCAGGCACAATGTACACGGGCAATATTCACGTTGTATTTACGTACTTTTATGCAATTTTTACACGTAAAAACGTAAATACGATTTGTGTTTACGGCGTAAATACCAAGCCTGCCCTGCCCCACGCCTAGAAGCGCCTCTGGCAGGCATAGAATGAACTTGCAACAAACGACATAGCTGCAGCGGGGCTGGAACCAATTTAAGCCTTGACGGGTCCCGGAGCCTTTTGCAGCAATGACTGCGGCTTTGTCCGGCGAAATTCGCAAATAGCGTAAGGCGCAACATGCTTCTGATTCCCTGTGGACTTTCCTTTGGCCCAAGTTGCATGATAGGGGCAATTTGAGTAAATTTTGCGGGAGGCATCGAATTTATGATAAAGATCTCAACACGTGCAGGCTGAATGTAGACGGCACACGTATGGCATACAAACGGCATAAAACCACTATACATAACACATGCACATGTACATCATACCATGTGAAAACCATGCATATCCAGTACATACAGTATGCGATGCGTATTTTCTGGTTTACTGGAATCCGAAATGAAGTACAAAACATACCACATGGTCAACCCTTCCAGTCTGAACTGGCTGACGCAATCAGCGAATCTGCGTGTGGCTTTGGAATGCAAAACGGCACGCACATTTTTCCAAGGTTCCGAATGGAGGTCCATTATCCAAAGAGTTCGCAGTTCTGATATTATTGCAGGTCGCAATTTGAGATGGACCTCAGAATGGGAAAAAAGGGCCTGAAGGGAAACTGGTGGAGTTGTTCCTTTGAGATTTCGCCAGGAAAATCGCCAATCGATGCGAATGGCTGGGGCTGGTTAACGCCAGGTTTCCAATATACATACCGACATCGGTAACACTTTCCCAAGCAGCACGTCACTCGCGAATATTGCGAATTCCAATCAGAAATTCCGGTACACACAGTGTCGCCATTAGGAATTCGACATCTTCATGCGTTGTTCACAATTTACTTAATTTGCACTTGCGCATGGATTGATGTTTCTTAATTAACACAAAATTTGAGACGTCTTCGGTTTCAAAATAACTATGACTTGTGACAAGGTGCACACCACGGTCTCCCACACGCACTCCAAACCCCGGATAAATTTCCAAGTGGAAAGAAAGCGTCTATAAAACACACATCGGCTTTGCACTGCGATCATAACATGGCTAATTTGCTGCTTGGGTGAACTCCACTTAAGGACGCCAATCGACTGTATCGGGACCGGCAAAGGGCTTTCAACCTGTACCGGAAATCTCACAGCACGAACCACGACATCATCACGGGCAAGACCATCAGGAACAGGGTGCAGCTTTCAGCCCCTCTTGTGACTTTCGCCGAAAGTGTGCCCGCTGTGCCGGCCAGCCCCGAAGTGCAGACGCTCGGTGACCCTGCCCCAAGTGGGTAGGCGGTGGCTGGCTGCAGCAGATGTGCGCTGAGACCTCCATTGGCAACAAACCAAGAGTATAGTCGCAGTTTTGTCACAGTTCGATTTCAAGCACTTGGTAGCACCATTAGCGGCACACTAGGCAAAAGGGGTGCCGCGTTGAAGAGGGCGCCTGGGAGAATTCTTCGAGACTCACAGGTTGCCTGTTTGGGAAACAGTTGGTCTTGGTCGCCAAAGTCGACGCACACAGTATGCGTGCCTGGTGATTCGGTGGCCCCAGCTGTGCATTTGTGGAAGATGTGTGCCATGTAAGGCACCACAACTAGAAGTGAGGCGGATAGGATTTGTGGCAGGTCGAGACGCACAACAAAGGGGCGCGATTGACACAGTGAGTGGGCGCTTCCCATGGCAAGAAGGCGCAAATCTTGCAGGCTGATGCCAGCGCTAGTGTGCGAACGAGCCTGCCCGATTCCTTTCACTTGCCAAGTTGGCGAGTGCACGGAATGTTTCTGAACACGACAAAGCACTCATGAAGGGGTGCGCTGGTGGAAGCGGAACCAAAAGCGGAATAATTATGTAATTATGTACGATTATGTGTAATTTACGTGTCATGTTATAGCATCGCACCATTCGATTTGAACCATTGGAGCAGCCTACCAAAACTTGGTGCTTGGCAGAAACCCGTGAATAAGATACGCGATTCGATTCCTTTTGCCACAGTGACGCACGCCAACATTTTCTCAGAGCAAATCTCTGATTCTCGCAAAGCGGCTGGGGCTGCGATTGTGACGGGAGAGTCGGCGGGAGGCAGTCTGGATGTCATCAGCATCACGAAATTTCGCACAAGGCAAGGAGGTAGCCTTGTTCTGGACGTAGCATTGCTCTAGTCGTTCGTTGTCCTAGTAGTTGAGAGAGGGCGCAGTTCACTTTTGACGAGCCCCACGGCGACACAGACGAAAGGAGCCCTGCAAAATGGAGGTTGTGCTGGAGGTATCCAATTGAATTTTGTGCTCTGGATTCATTGGCAATGCGCAACTGCTCCTGGAATTTGGCCAGACACCCTGGCAACTGTGCGCATTGGCGAAACAACAAAAGCGCTGCCATTCGAAGTGCCAGAACCGTCGCCTTTTCAAGTCACACCTGCAGATTGGATTCCTAATACGTTCTGTACCAGTACATCCCAATCAATAGCCAAATTGGTTTGTCTGCTCGGGAATGCCAGCGGCAAAGAGATTTCATGCGTGAAGCCTGGCGCCCTTCTCTTGTATGGCCAATGGCCACAGTGGAGAGGAAATACGAAGTGCATGGGTGGCAGCAGGGCCACTGTCGGAGTTGAAAGTTGCGCATCTCAATGCCTGGCACCCAGCTTCGCAAAAGTCTGAAGAGAAGGTCACCACACCGACATCGTGTTCAACCATTTATTCGGCAATTAAACCAGGTAGCATCCACAATACTGTACACAGCTGTGTTCCCGTGCGACGGCACCCACCACGTTCTTATTCCTTGGAAGACGAGGCATATTCATTCGTGCATTTCAAAATCTGTGATTGTTTTTCGCGCAGCAGCCCAGCCGTTGGCCTGGCCATGCAAAAGCCTCCACATCCCATCGCGCCAACATCCCAAACACCTTACCCAAGTATTGCCTGAGCTCCCACCCGCCCACCACCCCAAAAAACAGAGAAAGAAAAGAGGAAGTAAATAGCAAGCAATAAAGCAAATGCGCCCAGCTGGCCTCCCCTTCGACACATATAGTCAACGCCCCAACACAAACCTCTTCCTCCTGTGTCAACATTCGTGCAGCATCAACAGCGTGTCTGCCATCTCCGCCAGGTCTTCATCGGAATCAGAAAGCTCCACATCGAACCCCTCATCCCCTGAGTGCCGTCCCCGGGCTGGCACCCGCTTTCTCACCACAACACCCTTCCTGGAGGCTCGCCTCCCCCGGCCTGCCCTTGTCTTCTCCCCTCTCCTCGAGCTGGCGGAGTCCTCCACAGGATTTGTGGTGCACTCCGAGGCAGGGCCCGCATCTGCAGCTGTGCCAGGGGCTGCACCTTTTGAGAAGTTGCATATTGCCCTGTCGCCCCTGATGTCTCTGGCAGCCTTGTCGTAGGCCAAGGCTGCCTCCTCGGCAGTGTCAAACGTGCCCAGCCACACCCTGGAGCTTCGCGAGGGGTCCCTGATCTCTGCTGCGAATTTCCCCCAGGGCCTCTGCCGCACTCCCCGAAACCTCGTCTTCCCACTCTTCTTTGTGATCCCTGGCCACATCTTCACGCTGCCCATGGACGCTCCTGACGAGTTCGCCAGCGAAGACTTGCGTCCTTTGAGCCTGCAGCCTGGGGACGACGTTTCGCTGGAAAGGGGGCTAGAGCCATAAATGTGGCGTGTAGGCATCCCCCCATCCCATGTTGCTGGAAGCGCAGTTGGCTTCTCTGGGCGGGATGCAGGGGGTCCTGGATGACTAAACATGCCTGGGGATATGTGTATGCCAGCAGAAGCTCGCCGTGGGATCAACAGAACGCCGGAGGCAGCCTCTGGGGGCATGTGGGGAATGGGGATTGGAGGCGTGGGGTTCGCCGGAGAGGCCAACCTTGGAAATGCGGGAGGTGGCATGCATGCAGCGTGCACCTGTGCCTGCATGTTTGTGGCTGAGCTCTCTGCTGAGGAAGGGATGTGATGACACTCTGGGACAGAATCTGGCCACAGCACATGGGCAGAGACACATGTTGGCAGGCTGGAAGCGAAGGGCGCATAGGCACAACGGTGAGGCAATGCAACGTTTTTGGGCAAGTGGGTGGTGCAGTGGCAGAGACAAGTGGTAAGGTGTAGGATGCCCAGCATGACAGTTGGATATCAGTTCATGGAAAGGGACAGTAAGAAGTCACCAGCTCGCTGTGACGTTCCCTGGAGAAATATGCTCTGAAAAAGCCACAGGACTGTCCCAGACAAATGCAAAGAAAGCCACAAAGCACACAACAAATGGCAGTTGTGGCACGCTTGAGGTCCTGTGAGTGTGTGCTCTCGCGGCTGCAACTGGGGTCCACTCGCACCTGTACATGGCTGCGGCTTCTCCTCATCAGCTGCAATAAAACCAAACCAGGCTGTCACAAGAAGGGCAGGCACCTCCACTCACTTTTCAAGTCCACACCGGTGCCACAACTCCAAATCACTGATGGATCTGGAGTCCAAGACAAGACAACGAAGCAAGCAAGCTAACGTACCTCTGGTCACCACTCCCAGGGCAGGACCCAGGAGACTCTCCCGCTTCTCTACCGAGCAAGACACCGGGACCGTGCTCTGTGGTCTGAAGCCGACCTGAACCAGAACATTAGCCGCGTCCGTGACGCGCCCTGAGGTCCCCATGCACTCCCTGTACCGCAAAACACAACACGTTGGCGCACAGGCGTTGGACGCAATCGACAGGCGGACCGTCGTTTGAGGGGGCGCCCGCGGTGGCCCACGCGGAATGGTCGCACGGAGCGGCAACCAGCCGCGCCAGAGGTACAGAGAAATTGTCAAGTGTTTGGGTAGCTCAACTCAGCAAACCCAAAGTACATGCCCGTCATGGCATGCAAGGCGCAAACCCCCGTCGAAGGCAATTTTAAGCCAGGGCTTTCAGGACGGGGCGAGCCCTTCCGGCTGTCCGCCTGCGGAACTGGGCGCGACTCGGGAGCGGGACAGCGGCCACCTTCTCTCCACGATCGCCACGTCAAACGCGCCGCGCGCCACGTCGCATGTTTCCGTGGCCGCCCCCGCCGCCCCCAAGACAGACCCGCCAACGGCGGCGCAGGCCTCCGGCGACGCAGCGGGCGCCGGAAGGCGGATCAATCCCCCCCAGGGCTTCGGGCGGCGCCGGTGGCTTCAAGAGCTGGCGAGGGGGCTCGAACGGGATGCGCAATCACGGGGCGCAGGCGCAGTCCGCCCCAACGCGCCTCCCCCCGAGCGGACCACGTCAGCATCAAGCCCCAAAAAGCGGCGAAGGCGAGCCACGTTCACAACTCCTTGCGGCGCCGGAAAGGGCTGTTCCCTCTGGCAAGCGCTGGGCGGGAGTTCCCGGGGAGGATGGCGCCCGCCGCGGGCGCCAGGGATTACGCGATGGGGGGCCACCGCCCGCCTCGACGATCCGGGAAGCGGACCCCGCGACGATCGGCGCAAGCATCCTTCTGAAGGCCGTTGCCGTGCAAGCCGGCGGCATGCGGCCCCACGGCGTGATCGACAACCCTGGAGCGCGCACAGCCCGTCCTCGATTGAGGACCCAGGCAGCGGGCGCAGGGAGGCTGTAAGGGCCACCCGATTGCGGGACTCGCCCCCACCTGGCAAGCACCGCACACCCGCAGACGAGAAGGCCGTGGGAAGTTGTCGCGCCCGACGGCCCGGGGGGCAGCCGAAGCTGGCCGGCGCCGCAATCGCGCACCGTTCAGGCCGCCAAGCAGGCAGAAAGGTCAGAGATCGACGCCGTTCGGCTCCCCGCCGCACCCACCCACCGCCAGAAACGACACAACAAATGGCGCCCCGGCCGCCCCGCCCTCCCCCACACACAACCCCGCGCAGCGCCTCTCGAGACTGACCCGTCGTTCACGCGGCGCGCCCGTGGCCGCGCAGATTCCGTCCGGGATCCCAAAAGCGCACGTGGAAGTGCCATCCGCACCTGCCCAGGCTGCGCGACGGCCTCCCGGGCACCGCTCGGCAGCCGGTACGTACAAAACAGCAAAAACCGCAATCCGGTTCCGCCCCGGCCGATCGTCGCCGATGCCTGCTTCCCTGGCAGGCAAAGGGGCCTTGGGGGCGGGGTGGTGGAGTCAAGCACCCTCGGCGCTGTGTGGCTGCCGTCCGGTGGTGGGGCAGCGGCGGCGTCGACCAGCAACTCGGGGCGGGGGGCCGAATGGCGGGGCGCGGGGCCGCGCCGAAATCTCACCCCCGCTGCCTTGGAGCTCCTCCCTCCAGGCCATGGGTACTGACGTAACCGCCGGGATGGAGAGCAGCTGGATCTCTCTGATTGGGGCAGCGCGCTCCTGTCGGGCTGATGGCGCTGCCTGGCCATTTTGCTCAATGGCCTAGTCAGCTGGCAGAGATGAACGAAAATGTTCAGTGACTAAATACTATTGTCTATGCTGCTTTCACTACCATGACTGTATTAATACTACCATACCGGGGCCAAATGCAATTCACTCAGGCTGCATACCACAACCAATGATGGTTAAAAAACTTGTGCCAAAGATTGCCAATCTGCTTTGGTCTCATGCAATGATTCTCAAGGGTATATGGGGGTCCAAGATAGCCAACCGTTCACATTCAATAGAATTCCTGGCCAGTTCCCGCACCACCAGTCCATTCACAACAGAAATAACATTAAAAACAAAGTACTGATCAAGATGCACAAAGTCACAAAATGGATGGTTGCATATCCCAACAAGATCTGTTCACCAAACCAGCCACAAAC